AATATCAACATATATTCCTAAGTTATACCAAACAAAACATTATATAATTTTCCCAAAATAGATTATCCCACCATCCAAACTCACCAGAAATCCCCATCCCCTTCTAAAAAAAAAGGACTCCCCATGCCCCATAGTGACATCGATTTCCCATATTCTACCTCCTCTCTCTCCTTCTTTCTCCCACCGCCCTCACCATCAATCAATTTCACACACCCATTCTATCTCCCTCTCTCGGGTCTCGGCTCCTTCTCCCTGCACGCTCTCATAATCAAAATCAATTCCATACCCCCCTTCATCACCAACTCAGTAATTCACCATCCTCTGCCTTCCAAACAAATGGAGCGCCAAATCAATAATAAGAATGGAGGCTCAAGAGTGACTGCGCGGAAAGGGACTGTCGAAGGACGGAGAGGAAGGGGATAGCTCGGGCCTCGGATCCTTGGTCGATCTCACAAATCTTACCGAATCCTCCATTTTTCCTTCGCCGTCGCCGGAGATTTCGCCGGATTCTTGATCGATCTCATAGATCTGGTCGATCTCGAGCAAGGGAGGAGACTCGACAGGAGAAGGAAACTCGAGTAGGGTACAGAACTCGATGCGGCAGTGTTTTTAAGAAGTGGAGCTCGTCGCTAGAGCCAGGGGTCAGCTAGAGAATAGAAGAAGAGCGACAAGGCAGGGCGTGAAACTGGATAAGAACCGGCCGCTTCGATAGTTCGACTAGGGATTAGGGTTTCGCAGTGGGGTTTTTATTTTTTATTTTCTTCATTTTTGCAAAAACAATCGCGTTTCATTGTGAATAGCCTACCGCCGGTTGGAACAAAACCGGGCGTAATTTTGTTTCAAGCCGGTTCAACCAAAAAAACCGGCCGATACGATAATTCTGCCACTAAATGCATGTCGTTCCGTTTTTTGTCCAATTCCCAGTTGAACCGGTTAAACCGACTGGTACGATCCGGTTTCCTGGTCCTTGGTTTTTACTTGATTCATGGGGCTTTTGCAGGAGATGCTTCTCACCTCTTGTAGTTTAATGGTATTCTAAATTCATAGGTATTTGGCTTGCTAAAACACAACTACAAACTACGACCAAGTGTAATTGTAGTATGGAAATGCAGTATAGTGGGCACAGTTTACTTGTCAACCCGGGTCCTAGATTTACTGTCTACTCTGTGAATATCTATTATCTAGCGGTTCAGTTCGAGTGAAGTTTATCAAAAGCAAAAGCAAACAGAAAGCAAGTAACGGTTGTATTCTGATCAAGAAGGCTAACTCAGGTATAAGTCCCCCTAGATCGCAGTTAGGCCAAGTTGTAATTCACCTAAGTCAGATCGATTTTGTTTAAACTGTGAAAAGTTCTCAAACATTCTAGAGTCTCGACTAATAAAGTTCTCTAGACCCTCTCAGTTTGAATTCCCAGCGGGCGACTAACCTCCACTCGCGTAAGCTAACTGAGGCAATAAGATTCAAACTTTCTCTATTGGGTTATACACCAGTACAAAGTAGTGAATCGACTTCTCGATTAAAGTCGCCGATTCACTACCTCCAATTCAAGATATTCTATTGACCTATGTAGAGATTATCATACTACGTCAAAGCATGAATCACTAGAATTTAATCAAGACTCAAGCAATTCTAAATCAATACTTCAATTGGATGTAAATCAGTCAATCATTCATGGCAAAGGGTTCATACAACTCTTCCTAACATACAATCTAGGGTTTTAATATACCCAAATGATAGAGGGGATTACTCCATAAAGGGAGAGTGGAAAGCTATGCCGAAAGTAGAAATCATCGTGTAGTCGGAAGAAATATGCTCTAGGTCGTCAATCGTCACTCCTCGAGGCTTGAATCGAGCTCCTATGGTGGGGAGACTTGATCTAGGGCACTCTAGGTTCTCTCTTCGTTACTTTCTCTCTCTAAACCTTTATTTTCAACTCTAAGGATCGAATGGAAACCAAATTCCCGTGTTCCGCTTATAACAACCTGAGTTCGGCATACCCGGTCGGGTATCTGGAGGTCCGACCGGGTTTTATCCAAAACAGTTTGCAACACATGGTCAACGAGGGAAAATACCTGATCGAGAATTTGAGCTCCACGACCGCCGGGGGGGGGGGGGGGGTTTCCTGGATAATTTACCCAATGTAGTCAAAATCGCGCTTTAAAGTTTAAAAACTAATGCTTTTACGCTTCTAAACGCACTTTAAACCTTGAAAACTTACGGTTTTACGCTTCTAGATCACCAAAACGCATCTACGTAGAAACGCGCTTCTGACTAAATTGGGTTTACCCGAGTATTCTCGGTTGGGGTATTTGGATGGCCTGACTGTGTTTTCTTTTTTCCAGCTCCACTTTTCGCCCACTTTCCTCTTTTGACCGAAAACTCGCTCCCAAGCCTCCATCTGTGTTCCAGGTCTAGAAATAGGAAATACGACATAAAAGCACAACCTTGCGTGAAATCGGATTAAATCACGAAAATCAATCCCAAAATTGTACAAGAATGATGGGCAAAACATGTGCAAATATCGAGTGTAACCCCAATTAATTCGTACCGAGTCCATTAGAAGACACTCACTGATCACGGCCTTGAACAAAAAGAGTAATAAACTCCAACTCCAATTATAATAGAATAGAAGGTTACCTTTTTGGATTGCCTGGTTTCCATACCATTGGAAATTGCGAGTAGGGGTGGCTATACGGTCCGGTTCGGTTAAATGGCCCGAATTGATCCAATCCCAGTCCGGTCTTTTCGGGAATATAAGGACCAAAGAGTGGATTGGATACAATCCAGTCTTGATCCGGGCCGGTCTTGACCCGGTCCGGTCCCAATTCGGTCTTGATTTTAGATTGGGCTTGTGGGGATTTGAGTGGCCTGAGGACTCAAAGGGTGAGGAGTTAGTTAAGTTTTGGATGTTGGGGTCTCTGATCCGGTTATCGATCCGGTCCCAAAATGTTTCTTACCTCTAATCTAAGCCCGACGATTGGATTGGATTGTTTGCTATCCAGATTCGAGTTATACGGTCCGATTTCGGGTAAAACCAAATAGTCCGAACCAAATAGCCAGCCCTAATTGCGAGCTCCATCATTCACCACTGTTTCTCTAAATCATAACCGCCACTTTTGATGCAAGCAGACAAGCCTCTTGGAGACGAGGCAATCATAGGGATTTGGGAAGGTTTCCAAGCAGCAGTGCTGCTTGGCTGAGAGCTGCTGGGGAAAAACTAGCTCCCTGCTTGTTTCTTCGGTCGAAAGGTTTCCATCGGGTGGGGGAATAAACTCGAGGGTTTTATTACTTTTAGTGATGAGACCGAGTGGATAAGAGATCTAGGGTTTTGTCTATTTTTGGCCCGACTTTTAGAAGTGTTTTTCGGCTTCAAAAGCTGAAGCAGGGCCAAACACCTCTAAAAGCTCGGCTTTTGAAAAGCCGAAAAGCACTTTTGTATAACATAAAAGCAGAAGCTCCAATTTGGAGCTTCTGCGAAAGCTGTTTTGAAAATACAAGATTATCCTTACCATATTTTAATTTTATTTCATAAAATATAATTTTCCTTCATTTATATCATTTTAAAAATAAAATAAATAATAAAATCATATTATTTAATATAAAAGAAATCTAACAAGATCCATTTTGACTACATTTTATTGTTTGGAATTTTTATTCATATTTTATATTATAAGTCCTTTATAGTCATTTTACACAACCGCTCATATTAAAAAACACTTCTAATAGTTTTACAACCAAACACTAAACAGGTTTTTTTTAAGTACTTATCTAAAAGCTCCAGCCAGAAGCTACTTATGCAAAAACAACAGCAGGGCCAAACTAAGCTTTTAATTAGTCTAAGGATATTTTCGAAACTTTACAATTATGGGTGAGTTTAATCCAAAACTCAGTTAACGTACGTAACTTACTCATTTTATGTCGAAATTCAACACAGTTTAAACCGAGAGTTCAAATTTTAGCCCTCATCGATATTGAGGTGAAATTTGACAAAGTTTGAACAAGGGCATAATTGTCATTTTGGCTTAGAAAAGGATGAGGTGTAACATTTCTCCCTCTGTTGGAAAATATTCATCCTTGAAATTTGCTCGAAACTCGTTCCTCTGTCATTACCATTTTTGTACTTTCTTGCCTCGAGAAGTTATTCTTACTATGTAGGGGCGGAGCTACAGTTGGTCTCGGGGGTGGGGGGGGGGGGTGGCATTGTGAAACTTACGTATAAACTATATCGGTATTATGGAAATTTCGCGTAAACTAAAAATAAATGCAAATATGTTTAGTGTGCGCATTTGAACAAAGAAATTCAATTTAGTACAATGGGTGGGAACTATATACTGGGGACAATTAGTGAATGGTTTGATACCCAATCCCTCTGCAATTATTTTAGTTTAATTTTACATTCAGTTTAACATATCTAAATAACTACTCTTTCATGTTTCATGTTAAATTCCATTAAATTCAATATTGTTTCTTTACTCATTTAATTTCAAATTTAGGCTTTTTTTCAAAGAATTACTCTTTCGTGTTTCATTCATGTTATGGTTTCTTAATTCCGTTAAATTCAATATTGTTTCTTGACTCATTTAATTTCAAAATAAGTTTTTTTTACCAATCTTCAGTTTTATATGGCTGAAAAATTAGTCATTTTGATTTTCATAAGTTACTCTACTTCATTATTTTGACTTTATTCATCTAAAAAAACTACTAATAATAATACTAAAAGTAATTTTCTTTTATTTTCTTGATTGATTTTTATTGCCTTAATGCGGTAACGGTACAAAAAAAATTCGGCCCACTCGAACGCCAAATCCCTGCTTCGTCCCTGTCACTATGTGAAATTCAATGGTGTCCTTTACTTATCTTGTATAGTTCACTGTACTTCTTATACTTCCTCTTGACCACAACATGTATCCTCACCTAGCTTTGCCGCATTGTGTAACTTTAAGTGACTCATTGTCCTTTTTAATTTTGCAACTTGGCCAATTGTGTGATGGAACACAATTCCAATTCAGTTTGATTTCTTGGTTCAACTCCTTCAATAGTTGTTGTAGGGAACCTAAATCAAAATCAAGGTACCACATTTCCTCCCCACTTATAGAAATTTCAACCTCAAAATTTGTCCATTGTGACTACTCCAAGCCCTGCTTTTGATGAACCCTCTTTTTTTACCACGAGGATTTGAACCTCCTTTAACTTGTACGCCATGACCTATAAATCCTTCCATCTAATCATATGTGGTCCTTGTAGACTAGTGGTTCACCCATTTCTTTCCCCTTGATGCCTTCATTGTATGTCTAGCTTTCTAAATTCTATACACCTGTTAGATATCCCCTCTCTCAACCCTCATCTTGCTTACTTGGTCGATGTGGCTTATTGAATTCTTCTTTCATTGACGACTTCAACATTGTAATGGCTTCTAGGATCATCATATGATCAACGAGTTGCCTTAAGGTCTACTCTTATAACAACTTTATCTGCAAAATTTGGTCTTTACTAAAATTTATTCTTCTCAACATGGGAATCTAACATGATAACCCATTGGAGTTTTGTCACTCATTGCTTGTAAATTATCCCATCTCTACCAGTTAGTGGGTCATGAGTGCCCATATTTGGTTATGGAGTCTTAATTATTCTACTCTGTATAGACCTTAGTTGGTTCATAAGTCTGGTTCCCACCCTTGGTAACTTTGTTCTCATAGTGGCTTGAATACCATCCTTCTACGGTCATCGAGTTATCTTAGGCGGCATTTTTGAATACCATAACCCACCTCCATCCCAACAAATACATCCATTATTACGTAACCCTATTAAGGCAAGGTAATGATATGCATGTTGGTTCCTCCGGCTTTGGCCTCAATTGTGTCCATCTTCCACTAACGAAAGAGGAAAATCCTTCTATGAAGTTCCAGCAGGGCAAAACAAGATGAGCAAACTCTTGCTACCAAAAGCATAGAATACATTCATATATGCACCGCAAGAGTATTCTCCACATGGAAGATTGTTGATGTTGAAGATATGGGAAAACCTTTCTAAGCACTCAACTCAATTATCTTAGCTATCCTGGATGGTTAACTTTTATAAAATATTTAAAGTATGTACATTAATATTTGTACGATTATGTTCGCATTCAAAAGGATTCAAAAATTATAAGAGAAAGAACGAGAGATTTCATCATAAATTTGTTGTCCGCCTAAATTCAAGTATTTATATCGCATATGATACACATACAAGGGAACACAAACAAGTAAGTTGGTTTTCCTAATCTCATTTATCTTCTGTCAAGTTAATATAATTTTTGGTTTCCTTTGAATATATACAAGAGGAGTTATCAATTTGAATGGCGTAAAAATAAATACAATTGAGAGGTTTCTGAAGTCAAATAGCTACGACTAATGTTAGAAGATGATATATAAGCCAATATGGAGTTTTTGGAATCCCTTCAAACCAAATTCAGAAGGTCCTCTGAGATAGGAACTCGTTTCCTTTATGAGCAGACTTATATGATACATATCCACTTCCTTCTTCTCTTACTTAAAATTTTGTAGGAGTATGAGTCAGCTTTTACTTCACCCTAAAATTAGAGCTCGACAAATTGTGCACTTCCCAATGTGATTGCATCTAGCTACCCACAAACCATTTGACCCTTTGCCAACTAGAACAAACATTCATATACATCTAGTTTGTAATTCCCTTCTTAAGGAATCAGGAGCAATCTTTTTTTCTATACAAAATTGAATCCACTTCTATCTCCTCGTAACATAGAAAGAAAGTGGGATTCTTCAATGTCCAACACTACCATCTCTGGTTATGGCCATGGGAAAACCCTTTATGTGACTCATGTACATTGCAGATAATAAATAATTCACATTCTGTTAGCTTCACATTTTGTGCCATAAAGTCATCATTCATTCTTGTTGAAAGTTTGTTGAGTTCATTCCTGTGCCCACTTCATCTGGTTTAATTTCGTGCTTGACCAAACTCATGAAATTCATTTGCATTTCCATACAACTTTGCACTAGCTTTCTAAGATCTGTCATTTCACTCCTTATTTGTTCCATGTTTCCTCTTAGTTCATTCACCACATCGACCTCCTATCAAAGGAAAGAGAACATGTTCGTACAATGAGTTAGAAAATTTTTAATACCCCAACAACATAAAAAAAAAATATAATAAGTGAATAAAGACTAAACTTACAATTAATGCATGACTTGTAGAGCACGAGCATCTTCTTCTATCCTGACTGCTGCTTCGGAATGGTTGATTATGTAGCTGAGAAGCGGCATTTGAGAATCTATCATACTCTTCCATCTCTTGCCTTTCACCATAATTCCATGATCTAAATGGAGAAGGTGAAAAGAGTGATTGGGAGGACTGGTCAAAAAGATCATTGGCTTCGACAAACTGTCGACTTGTTAAGCTCTCTTGTTGATGTTCTTCCTGATCCATATATTCTTCTTCTTCTTCTTCGTCTTCTTCGTTTTCTGATTCCTCTTCTTCTGCCTCTTCATCGACCTCTTCTCGTTCTTCAGTGTTTTCAACACGATCACTTTGTTTTTCTTGAAACACATCATCATCTTCTTCATTAACCTCTCTGTGGAAGTATGATAATGCTAGTTGTGCCATCTTCTCTTGGTTTTCATCAGCCTCTGATCTCTGTTGTTCTTGGTTAGCTTGAATCCGGGCTCGAGACAACATCAACCTATCAATCCTTTCCCGAAATTCACTAGAAAGAAAGCTTGACACTGTTTTCCTGCATTCCAGTTTATTTATTTTTTTCAAAATTTATTAACAACAAGAGAAATTTATATGAATCTTGTCATAAGGTGAAGTTTCATTCGTACCTCTCGAGAAGTTCCTTTATGTCTCGATTTCCACAACCACTGCTTAGCATCTCGTCATACCAAGATCGTCTCATGTCTTCCCAATAGCTACGCGGTTTAGCTATATCACTAAACCAATCATATGGAGCTTCCTCAAAATACTCTTCTTCTTCTTCATCATCACTTGCTTCTACCTCTTGATCTTCCTCCATTGCAAACTCTAAGTTTCTTTCCTTCCATGCTTCTACCGAGCTTTGAACTGTATTATCTTGTCGAATGGGAATATGATGCAAATCCTCGGTTTGTTGTATGCTTGTGTTCTTCATCGATTCTAACTCCATTTCACACTCCAAGTTTCTTTCTTGCCATGCGTCTATCGAGCTGTGAATTGCAATATTGTCAAGAATGGGGATATCATCTAATTCATTGTTTTGCTTTAATTCTTTTTTCTCCAAGGAAAATTTATTTTCCTCCTCTTTCAATTGGCCTTCAATTTTGTTTCTTTTCTCCTCGACCTGATTCCTTGTCACAAGTATAGCTTCATGTTCTGTATCATGATTTTCCAGCAAAGGCTTACTTTCTTGGAAAATAGATTCCTCTACTGGTAGTTCACTATGCTCAAGGGACTCACTTGGCTTCTTTTCTTGTTTCTCTAGATGCTCTACCGAGACGAATGTACTCATCAAATCAGTGTGTGGGGCCTTTTCTTGGGACTGGCCCTCAGAAATGGATTGATGCTGGGTCAAAAAATTGTCTACTTGTCTACAATGCTTCTCTGGTCTAGATGACTTTTTTGGGGCAATAGCTTCTTTTCGGCCACTTTTTTCTTGCTCAAGAAATGCCTTCAATCTCTCCCTTTGTTATTGCACCATAAAATATCTCTCATTAGTAACTCCCTCAACTTTTAAAGAAAAACCTTCATTCACATTAAAAAAAAAAAGAAGTTAATTTACCTGAGCTGCATAATGCTAGAACTATGTTGTGGTGGTTTACATGTTGGTGGTACTGGTACTGGTCGAGTTTGAACCCCCACATCACGCCTTAGAAATCTCAACTTCAATAAAGACTGCAACAATTCATAATAACATAAATCATTTATGTTATATTTGGAAAATTTTGTATTTTGAGAGTTGTGAAAATGTTAATGAATATAATTTATATATCTCACTGAAATTAAGATTTTATGAAGTAGTAAAAAAAATTATTATTTTAAATATATCTTTGAATTAGAATTTAGGGGATTTACCTGAATGCGACCACGGTAACAAAATTTTGAGACAGCTTGGCGCTCAGCGAGGGAACCAAGCTCTTTATGGCGGTCCTGCTCAATGTGGAGAAGCAAATCATGAAATGCTTGCCGACCTCGAATTCTTGGTGAGTTCACAATTAGCGGCCATCCTCCTCTATGCTCAAAGGAAGGTTCTGAACTGGTGGAAGTCCTTCTAGGGGTATCACAATTGTTGCCATTCCCAGGATCATGATGATGATCGTGCACATCACACGTCAAACGTCGTATGATATCCGCAATCCTGACTTTTTCCTTGTCCAAACCAGCATCAGAATGACGGCGGTTTATGGTTGAAGTTGTGCTTTGAGCTGTCGAGTCCCAGTCGGCGAGCAAATCGTTGTTAGAAACCGAGTCGAAAACATCGGAATGCCTAGAAGGCTCTTCGATAAGATTAAGATTGTCGAGGCTGGAAACAGAGCTAGTTCTGCTATGTTGTGACATTTGATGATTGGATTTAGGTTGGTTCAGCCTTGCCTCCCATATTTGTACGAGAGAAGAAGCCCCAATCTGGCTCTTAGAGGAACACTCACTCTCGGCTATTGAGTTTTGGGAAGAGATTACACGATTCTCGGGCTCCTTCGAATTGGAAGAAGAGCATGGATTGCTTGACGCCACAACCCAAAGCTCTGCCTCCTGATTCTGCCTCTCGATCGTTGATACCATTTGCTCTGCCTGCTTCGCTGCCCAACGGTCCAAATTCCTTGCCTGTCGGCTGCTCATGCGGGTTGAAGAAGAACAAGAAGAAGAAGAGTTGTTGTTATTTCCTATTTCATTTTTTGATGGGCTATTACGACTGTTGCTCGGAATGGTGACGGAACCCAAGTTATCACTATTTTGTTGTGATAGGGAATTCTCATCAGGAGATACAGAGATGCAATTATGAAGATGGTCTCTGACCAAAACCTTGAGATTCTTCTGGATAGTAGCGGCTCTGGAGGAATTGGCGTTGCTTGCCTCCCTATTGCATCGGTCAGGCCGATTCCTGTCGCGAAGAACACAACCGAATGGAGAAGACGATGCAACCCTCTCAACTTGTGATGACGCCATCCAAACTCTTTCTCTCTTTTCTTTTTTTTTTTTTTACCCTTTGTTGTAATGTTCCTCCTTTCAAGAAACTCGAAAAATGGGGTTAGAAGAATTGTTCGCTACTGGCATGATTCGTTTGGGAAACCAAAAAATTTGAGGGTGGAGAAGATTGGTGAGAAAATCAATCACCTCACAGAAGAATCTAAAACAAGATAACCTACCCTCTATTTCAGACAATAAAAAAAACATAAGAAATGAGTAACAATGAAGGAGGAAAAACATAGCCACACAAAATTCCCATCAAATGAAATAACAGTGGAATGATGTTTTATTTAGACTACCACAATTTGTTGTCCAACAATTTCCTATTCTTAGGAGACAAATTCTTCTACATTTATCAAGAATGGAATGAAACATAATTAGGGGGAACTGATTTAGTGACAACGTACATTTTGGAACAAATTGAAACAGATGATTCAGAAGGTGAAAATGGTAAAGGTTATGGAATTTGTGTTTGTGAATAAATAGAATTTGTGTTTCACCTAATTATTATAAAAATTAAAAAATCTTAATTCCTTTAATTCTTAATTTCCACCGTCGTCATTCCTCTCCCCTCTGCCGCCAATCTCTGAGTCTTTATTCAATCCCTCCCGCGTTTTCTTCTTCTTCTTCATTATAATAATAATTAAAGGAACATATCTTCATCTATGTCCAAAATCCCAGGATCCCGAGTCCCTAACTTGACCCCTTTTTCCAGATCAATCATGGCCTGGTTTCGTATCCTCACCCGAATGTCCGCCACCGCCAAATCTTGGTTGCCTTCGTCTCAGCCTTCGCTACTCCGAACCATACCCACTACCCGAGTAGCCTTCGCGTCTCTGATGCTGCCCTCATTTCGGAACTTGAGGGCCCACCAAAGGCGGCGAGAGGTCGAGAGTGGTGGTGCTGGGATCCGGTTTAGGCGGCTACCGGTTGATGAAGGGAATCGATACCAGTATTCGCGGCAGAGGGGAGAGGAACGATGACGGTGGAAAATAATGATTAAATGAATTAGGTTTTATTTTTTTAATTATTATAATAATTTGGTGAAAAATAAAAAAATATTTTTATTTTTTAATTTTTAATTGCAACATCACTCATTTAACGATCAACAATAAGAGTTAACCGCTACATTGCAAACGTTAACAGAGGCTAATGGCCAATGACCAAACTTGAACTTTTAACCTAATTTAAGTGACTACGGATGGAATAAATTAATTTTAGTGGCAAACATGAACTTTTTAAGTAATTCTAGTGACCAAACTTGCAATTTAGCCGTATTTGAGTATATTGATTGATTATCGATATGAATTTTGGTAAATATTGTTACTATAGCTACGTGATATTCCATAATTATGCTGTAATATTAGATGTTAAACACATGTTATGAATAAACTTAATTAATATAATTTGTCCGTGGAATCAGTTTCTTCTCTTTTCTCAAACTATTTGCAAGTTGCAAATGTAATCCAATTACAACGAAAAGGGAAAGCCCAAGGTGAGCAGCCCCGAGGGCTACAATTAAAAAGAAAAAAAAAAGTATTACAAGCTACCGCTAATCCTCTACAATTCTCACATTCCTTATATGTGCTTGCAACTAGGGATGGCAAATTACCCATCCATGGGTAATTATACCCAAACCCAAGTAGACCCATTGATAATGGGTTGGGTATGGGTGAAGTGCATATGGATTTGGGGGGTTATAGATGGGTTTGGGTTTGGGGCTTCCATAATCTAAATGGGTATGGGTTGGATATGGATATCCATTTACTTGAGAGTGTTTTAACTACACATGCAAAAATTGGACCTATTTGCAAAACTTGAAAAGTTTAGGTACCAAAATGTAAGACCAAAAAAATTTAGGTACCAAAACGTAATTTTCCATAGATATTTTGAGGACTTATATGCAAAAAAAATTAAATTTAGGTACTAAATATGCATGTCTATTAAGTTTGGGTACCAAACAGTGATTTGTATTTGGGCATGGGTACAAAACCAAATCCATTTGATATAAATCCAACTCAACCCAAAGTAAATGGGTATGGGTACAAACCCATCAAACTCTACCCATATCCATCTATTTGGATTTCATACCCAACCCAATTGGGTTGGATAGTAAGAAACCCATGGGTATGGGCAAAGTTGCCATCCCTACTTGCAACTGCATATTGTTCATACTCAAACTCACCAAATCTCTAACAAGCCGTTGTATAATGCCATCAACAGACCTAGGTGGTTCCTCATGCACTTAGTGACAACGTTATTTCCATAATGTAGCACTACTAGAGCACCACATCACATTGGCAAGTCTCCCCACTGCGGTTTTCCTCCTAAATAGATCAGATCTAGCCTTTAGAGTTTCCTCCCATGTGCCTTTTATGAACCCCTAAGCTTCCAATACATGTTGAGAGAAGGAACACTGAAGAAATAGGTTCTCCCTATTCTCCACCTTCTGTCGCGGAACTAGCACAAACCATCCACATGCTTTCCCATTTTAACAACTTTGCTTTCATAACTACACCATCCATAATGATTAACTAGGAGATGAAACTGTTTCGTGGTATAAACCCCTTATGCCAAACAAGTCTTGCCCAATCAACTGTACTACTCTTAAGCCTTAAAGCTTCCCAAACTGCTGCAACTCTGTATCAAAGCATAGAGTTGTCATCCCAATACACTATAGAATTATATACTATGAAATTAGGCTGTAACACTTACCTTATTTTGAGAACTCGTCGCCAGACCAAAGAACTGCTTGTACTCACTGTTATAGTCTAGATACAACTTGTCCTTACCTTATACTGCTTTAACCATGCTACCAATATAGATCCACTTTGCATCAGTAACAACCAAAGTAGTCAAGCTGAATACGCCAGCTTTCGTGTATACATATCGGGTAGCCCTAAACCCCCTTCATTTTGAGGTTGTGCCATTCTATCCCAACCTACTTTGGGTCTACCTTCTACACCCCCATGCAAGAGGAATTGTGAACATACATCCTGAATTTTCTTCAACACTTTCTTTGGCAAGAGGAAGAATTGCGTCCAATACTGAAGCACAACCATAAGAACTAATGAAATAATCTATGGTCTACTTGCATAGCTAAGCTTTTTGGAACGCCAGGAGCTGATCCTTTGTGTAATTCTTTCAACAAGTTTATTTGTGTCTACCGAGGAGAGCTTACCAACTAGTAGAGGTATCCCAAGGTTACGAACAAGCAGGTTACCCTCCTAGCACCCTGAAATGCTTAAAGCATTATTCTTGTACATCCCCACCAAAATATACTTCACATATTTGTTGATTGCATTTGAGACAAGAAAGTGTGTAGCAATCAGTCAAGATATCTTGGACTTTACTAATAACTTGTGTGGATCCCTTAGTGAAGATGAGTATATCATATGCAAAACACAGATGAGTAAAAGCTACACTCTTCCACAGAGGATGGAATGTCAATTGCCTTTTAGCTGCAACACTATTTAATAAAACAGATTGGCCCTCCATGGCAATAGTGAAGAGATATGGTGAAAGGGGGTCACCTTACCTCACTCCCCTCTATGCCCCAAAGAAACCACAAATACCACCATTGATGTTAATTCTAATTCTAGCTATCTTAATTGTCCAATAAAGAAATCTGTTTGGAAACCCCATCACTATCAGTCATCAATAATAAGTATTCCCAATTGACCAATTCAAAAGCTTTCATGGTTTCTACTTCTATAGCACATCGAGAAGAAAGATTTTTCCTGTTGTATCCAATAACAAGTTCCTGAGCCATAAGTATGTTATCAATAATCTTCCTCCGTGCTATGAATGCAGATTGATTTCCACTAATAACAATAGGCAAGACACTTTCGAGCTTGTCGGCAAGGAGTTTAACAATGATTTTATAAAGAATGTTGACACAAGAGATATGCCTAAACTCCTTAAGATGAAAAGCAGAAGGGACTTTAGGTATTAAAGTGACATCCTTTGAATTTACACTACCTGGCAGCCGCCAAACTTGAAAAATACAAGAACACCTGTTGTGACATCCTCACTAATAATCTCTCATTCCCCTTTGAGAACCCCTTACTTCAACAACAATTATGGTTCTCCAAAGCATCTCATGCTCTACCTAATTCAATTTATTGACCACTAGAGTCTCGAGTTGTTTACAACAGGGAAAAACTTGAGCATCCACTAAACCAAACAAACCTTTGTAAAATAGCACAACCTCATCCACAATCTAATTTATCTATGTTATTTCCTTTCCATTATCAATGACGAGTCTCCTTATTGCCTTCCAAGTATTTGTTATCTTTACAAATTGATGAAAGTATCTAGTACTTTCTTAAAGCTTAAAATAAGCATCATAACGGGTGTTAGCCTCTTTTATATCAAAATACTCAAATTTCTTAAGCATCTTCTCAACATAATGTGACTGATACAAAACAAGACCCCCACTATGTTTATTTACTTTGATGCATATGATAGTATCGAATCTCCAAGATCTTTCATTTGGAAACATGAAGTTAGATACTTTTTGTAAATTATTCCCTTCATGTTAGTTCATATCATTAACATATCATCCACACAAAGGCGTATAATGACAACATACTATTTCGTGCACTTTGAGTAAATGCACTTGTCACCAGTCATGAAAAAATTCATTAGCCAAGACAATGTAATCAAATTTCTCTATCCATTGCTTATGTGTTTGATTTAGACCATACAAAGACTTAAGCAACTTACACACCTTTCCTTCATTTATAGGCAAAATGAACTCTTTTGATTGTTCAATGTATACTTCTTCATCTAACTCATCATTTAGAAATGTCATCTTAACATCCATTTGGTGTACAAACATATTGTAATTAGAAGACAAAGCTAAAAGGACTCTCATGAAAGTGATTCTTTCAATTGGTGTATAGGTATCAAAGGAATCTACTCCGGCCTTTTGCCTAAACCCTTTTGCAACCAATCTAGCTTCCAAAGTATGTATTGAAAACATCAGTGTTATACTTAAGCATTGTTTGCTTCATGGAATTCGTCATGAAATTGGTATGTAAAAACTAAGTATCATGGACTTTATACACAATCCGGCGTTTGCTTGATGGATTTAGCAGGAATAAATCCGTGGGGACCACGGACTTTGAGGGTTCTAATCTGTGGACCCCACGGATTTGAGAATTCCACCCCAAGAGGTGGGATTTATGTTGGGGTACAAGTCCATGGTGACTTTTGATAATTTTAACCCTACTTATTTCACTAATCACCACTTATCCTCTTTCATTTACCAATGATCAACTTTAGTGCATATTAATTTCGCATTCAATATTCATTATTATTCATTGCACTCAAACACTACATGATTGATCCCAAAGCTTACTTTGCAATATTGAAAACCTTAGGGAATTGTCTAATTAAGTGTATAATATGAAGTTGTTATTGATTAATGATGTTCATTTGTTCTGAATATGGTAGTGGGACGAAGCTATTGGATGAAAGTAGCTTTATAACAAAAATTATAATGTAAAAATAAATAATACTCAAGAAGGGCACTAAGGTAAATTCCTAATACAACCACAAATATAACAATGCCAAATCCATCATGAAGTCCAACAAGCAAATAATGGGTTGAACCAAAAACCAAATGGGGCAATTCCATCATATATCCATGGTTTTATAAAATCAAGATTTTAATCAAAACCTTCATTTTTAAAATCCATGAAGCAAACGACACTTTAGTCCGAAGTACCCATTATTTCCAATGGCATTAGATCCTTGAGGTAGATCCAAAAGAAACCAAGTCTTGTTAATCAACAACAAATCCATCTCATCATTAGCAATCTCAACCTAGAAAGATGAATCTGTAAAAGCCATTGCTACTTGATAATATTTTGAATCATTTTGCACATGCAAAAAAATGGGTATTCTTAGGGGTCGTTTGCTTCATGGATTTAAAAATGAGGGTTTTGTAATTTAAAAACCCAAGGATTTATCAAGGATTTGAAGCATCATGGATTTGTAACAATCCTTTGTTTGTTGGGATGTTTTTATTATGGATTTAAAGGTGTGGGATTTACTACTTGAATTCAAAAATTACATTACTGCCCTTTTCTATACGTTTGACATGTTTATGATATTAGAATCGGGAGAACAAAGAATTACACGTTCCATGAAAAGGTCAAAGAAAACTAGAATACAAGAAATTATATAAAAAATCTAACTCATTTTTGCACATTAATT